GATTGGTTTTGAAAACCTCTTGTATTTTTGTCCTTTGTGTTCTTTTTTTTTTTTTTTTTGGCAGTACCAGGGATTGAACTCAGGACCCTGTGCTTGCCAGGCAGGCACTTATTCTACTGAGCTATCTCCCTAGCCCTGTGTTCCTTTTCATAAAAAGTCCCTTGCCATAACAGCTTACTACTTCTGCTCATAGTTACTTAACTTTTCTTTGAAATCCATTTTTTATGGAGTACCCTCACTTCTTGTACTTCCAATTCATAATTAGGATAACTGCTCTGATGTTTATGCCATTTGAAAAGCTTACTACGTTGTCTTGTATAACATGTGTCAAACTGTATATTACTCTCTTTTTTGTCATTTTACCTGCCTCTTTGATGATTTGAAAATTGCTTATTCTGAAACAGTGCTCAGCACATTTTTTTCAGTGTTTATTAAGTTCATACTGTACCACTTGTGTATTTAGGGAAAATCTGTAGTTGAATGAAAATTGTCCTTTAAGTAAAACAAAATCTATATGAATATTTTTATAAGTCAGTTGCTCTTCATTCTCCAAACTTACTTGGTTTAATGTAATATATTATATACTTACATGCATGCCTTTAGGTTAAAAATTATTAACACATTTTCTTTTAAGAACATAGAAGAGATTTCTAGTTTTATGTAATTTATCAACCTTGTATAAGTAAGTGACAAAATGTACAAGTCTGTGACACTTGTCATAGCAACAGCATAAGGAACAGTTTGTACTTTGTGTAACTCTTGTTCTTTTAGTTTGCTGACATCCATTTCTTGATTTTTCTTTTTTCTTAGTGCAGATTTATTGCCATCTCACTTCCAGTGCTAGTTTTGCACAAGAGGCAGAGATTATGCCTCAGAGTCTTTGCTTAGATAAGAAGGTAGCCGTGTGCTGGATTTCAAGAGCAAAATGAATTTTTGTTGAGCTTTTGTAAGCGAAGAGGCAGAGTGGCGGTGACAGCCCCTATGCTCTAACTTTGGGAAAATATCTGAAACAAAAAAAAGAAGATTCAGAACCACTGAAGTCTGAATGGGAAATAAAAATTGTAAAATTGGCTGTAGTGAGGGAACTTACTTTAGCAGCAGGCTAGCACAGTAAAACAGTGATGGAGTTGGCTTACTCCAAGAAGACTGGCCTGAGTTCTGTGTAATTGTGAGCATAGGAGGGAGGCAAACTGAGAAGTGAGAGGGGAAAAGTCCAGAGCTCACCTTCAGTATATCCACAAGGAAAAGTGATGAGACAAGTTCACAATGTTTAATACTTACCTGCCATTTGCTCTGCTTACATGGAAGTGAAGTAGGTCAGAGAAGGACCAAAGGCCCATCCAGGTTTTAAACCCGACCTGGCTGTGAAGCATATCCTGTAATCTCAGTCTGGTTACTGATTAACGGAGTAACTGGATATGTATGTATTTTTCTCCATATGTTAGATTCATATGCAAAGAATGTAGAGAAGATCTTGAAAGAAATTAAAGTAGATGCAGAAGAAATTGTAGATTGAAGAGTAGATGAAGAAGATATGTGTATAGATTGGCCAAACTTTAGTGTAAATGAAGTCATGTGTTTGGAAGCTCTCAGTAGACGGTGAAGTGCTGTGTAATTTAGTGTATTGGATAGTGCAGCTGTCTGTGTGTGTGTGTTTCATTAGTCACTGAAGACCTTCTAGTGCCTCTTCCAGCTCAGGCCCTGTTGATGCCTGTGGATATCAATTCAACCTTTGTAG